AAATCTGAAGAAAAATTTGAAAAATTCTCTCTAAAAAAAAGTTCTGTTTGCATATAAAATCGCTTATTATTACTTTGAAGTATAGTAAACAAAATTCCGGTAAAAAGAGCAGAATTGTGATATATTCTCCTTTTTAGGTATATTTTTTCACTTTGTTTAATAATTTTAAAGTATTGAAAATGTTTAATACAATCTGTCTTATTTTCTCAAGACAAAGTAAAAGATTATTAATACGTACAATTGAGTATGATGATGAATAGAAATTTGTCTTATTTCTTCTAAAAAAATTTATCTTATTAAAGATAGAAATAAAAATTATTCAAACCATCTGAATGTTCTTCATGATAACCAGCATAATTAGGTGGTCGTTTTGGATTTTTAACTGGTGTACGACAACCATGACTAGCTGGAGAATTAGTACTATTCGTTAATGAAATAGTCTATTATTAAAATGTCAAAATAAATATCTATTAAAAATTCTCTTTCAATCAAACCTGTTCATGTTTTTGTTGATTAAATGCAAATGGTGAAATCACATGGCAAATCTAGATATATAATCATAATAATTATTTCAACAGAAAAAAAAAAACAAATAAATTGTTTTCTTTTCTTACTTCGTCTCGAATCATAGGACTATCAAGTACATCTCTTGCTGTTGGTCGTTGTTTATAATTTGAATGAATCATTCGAAAAAGAAGTTCTTTTAATTCTAGATCAGTTAATACTGATGTTATTTCAAATGGTAATTTTAATTCTCGAATATCTGTCCAAAGATCACCATTTATAGGTAAATCAAAATCACTAACTAATTCAAATGCTGCTAAACCTAAACTAAATACATCAGCAGCTGTTGATATTGTACCTGATAAAACTTCAAATGCAAGATAACGTGCATCACCATCTCGCGCTAATGTTGATGGCTTAATAAATAACACAATAAAAACATCAAATTAATTTGAATTTTTTGCTCACTTACACTTCTTAAATCATGTACAATACCAAAATCACAAAGTTTAAGAATTCCATCCTTTGTAATTAAAATATTTTCTGGTTTAACCTTCAATCAAAAAAATAGAAAAGTTATTAGTGAGTTCCTGCGGAATTAAAATGTAAGATATAATATGGCTGCTATTGCTATTTATAGGAAGATTGTTTTATCTTGTCTATTTTCGGATATATTTCTTCACCATTTTTTCTTTACTTGGTTGCACAAAAAAAGTAATAAGGAAGTAGTTCATTTATCTATGACAAGACTTTATCGATATACGATTTGTAATTGTATAGAAACAACGTCTGTCACGGTTCGCGATAGAGAGAAGTATCTTTGGTAAGACGTCTGTTTCGGACTGTGACATTATCATAATCACGTTTGTCATGATCTGTGAGGGAGAAGACTGTATGAATGTTTACTCCTATACTTCAACATTCTTTTTTCGAACATATTTCACAAAATTTAAGATTAAGAAGATTTTTAAACTTACATCCATATGAACATAATCTAATGAATGAAGAAAATCAAGAGCCTAAAAGAAAATATTTATTTGATTATTGTTTTTATTTTTATTTTATGCATACTTGACTTATTTGATAAAGGAAATGCCAAATCATTGATTGGGTTATCTGATGTTCTGCTGAATAGTCAAGTAAACTTTAAAAAAAAAACAAGAATTATGCTCATTTTTTAAATTGAATTTTTTTTTTCTTTTGTTCTACATACTTGCTTTCACAAAGTTCTGTTTGAATATATAAACGTTCACGTTCTTCCCATGCATGTATGATTTTAAGAATATTTCTATGTGTAGCAAGTGTTTCATGAAAACGAACTTCTTTTAATTTTTCATCACTAAAATTAAAATTAAAAGATTTTTCTTGTTATTTTCTATCTAGAAATCCTACCGATCGGATTTGCCACGAAATTTAGTTAATGAACGTTTAATTGCATATAATTGATTATCTTCTTTATGGCGAACTTTATAAACCTATAAAGAAAAATCTACGATTAGTTTTCTATTTGATTCTTTTCTAAAATTTCTTTGTCATTAATTACAAATATGTAAAAGAAAATTTTTTTTTTTTGAACGTGTAATTAATAAATATTGGTCGATAGTTCATTACGAATTTTTTTGTATGTGTAATATCAATCAAAATAAATTTAAACATTGTGTTCGCTGATATGATATGAGAAATCTCAATGCAAAAATTAACGAAGTTCAATGATATTTAATAGTTTCGAATCAGTATGTAGTTGTAAGAAACATCCCCGAAAAAAATTATTTTGATAATTTTGATATTATTGTATTGGGTATACAGACAAATGTTGTGATCAAAATTCTCGTCACAAGCTGCTTGTCAATGTTTTTACAGATTCATGAACCTCAAGGTGTGTATATCGCTAACATTTTGCACTTAGGAAACTACGAAAACAGGTACTTGAGAAAAAAGTTTCGAGATAATTATATAAAGCGACATTTTTGAATATGTTCTCTTTCACAAATTTGTAATCGACAACTAACGAAGAAGCATTCGCAGATTTTAGTTTGCTTTACAAGCGAAAACTACTGTATCTTGTAGACCTTAGTGAACTATATCTGCCATTAAAAGAGTTCATGTTGATCATCTGTTGCTGAGGAAATTAAATATTTTCAATAAGTTTCCATCTGAAACTCCACCCACAAAAAGACTTCATTTATACTAGAAAATTTCCGAATCTTCACACTAACTCTCTCTCTCTCTCGAAGATATGAAACTTTCAAAAAAACAAACATGTTGTATCTACTTATAAAAGCAAGTCTGATTAATATCTTTATGTCGACAAAGTTTCAGATCGAACTTTGAAAATATGTTCTTGCTGTAAATATGAGATCATCAGGACGAAATATTTTTATGGAAAGCATAATTCATTAAGGTTTACCAATTACCTGTTTAACAGCAAACTGAACCTTGTTAATGTTCTCTCATGAGCAACGATTGATTATAGATCATGCCAAAAATAGACTAGAAAGTTAAATTTTAATAAATTACTAAACGAGAAACTCGTAAGTGTAACGTCAAACTAAGAAACTTCAAAATAATATTGAGATAATATTGTTGAACAAATCGAACACACTATCAAGTACATTGACTATAAGCTTAACATTGATTTATTAAATATATCTATCTATTGTTATTTCATGTTTAAATCTCTTGTATACTTCTATTTAAAATTATGTCTTACTTCAGCAAATGAACCACGACCAAGACATTCAAGATGTTCAAAACATTGATCCCAATATGTAGATGACATTGATTTTGTATAATATGGACTTTCCATAGCTAAATATATTTAAAAAAAAAAAGAAACAAAATAAAACGATAAGTTCAATATTCAATAAAAACTTACCAACACCAAATGTATTTGAACTAACTGAAACCGCATTTGCTATTCGATTAGCAGCTGGTGTAAAATATCGGTAAACACGACATGAAACAGGTTTTGGTGGATGATTTATTGCAATTCGTCGACGACTTGCCTTAAAATATTATAAGAAGAATAATAATAAAAATAAAAAGGGGAAAAAAAGTTTTTCTTACTTTTTTACTAGAAAACGCACGACATGAATTATTTGATGTACGTTCAGGTGAAAAGATTAATTCTGTTTCAGTAGTCATTCTTGTTTCGTATGATAAAGTCATGAAAATCGAGTCTTCAAATAAATTAAAAATAAAAAATTCTTCTACATATAGATATATATAGTTTATAAAAAGTCGATTAAGTTAGAAAGAAAAAAAAAACCAAACGTGTGAACAATCGATGATGACATTCTTTTTTGATTTTTTTTCAAAGAAAAGCTATTTATTACTTTTAACTCTATTGTGTGATATATATAATTATCCATTAAGATAAATATAACTGATGACAACTTAGCAGATAATATGCATATTGTCTTGATAATTTCTTTATATTTAAATAGATTTATCAAAAGCTTTATGTTCAAGAAGTAGTTTTCTTTTTCCAAGAATGTTATCCGAAATAATGATAAAACACGTCATGTTTTCACTTGACATGATAATTATATCGATGTTCTCAAAGTATTAAAATGACAAATGTATTGAGGACATTAAGTTCTAATGTAAACATGTGACATTAAAAATATTATATGACTTCATTTTCAAACATCGATATAACAAACAATGACATATGTCAAAAAACTAAACAAGAAATTATTTTATTTTTCATGATTGTGAATCTAAACTATCGAAATATCGATTGATACTTGTTTTATCTATTTCTAGGCAAGCACAATAATACCATAACAATTCAGTCGAAGATAAATCTTAGTAAATATTAGGATTTATTTTTGTTGACATATATTCAACAATTACTTTTTTTTTCTCATGCTTCTTCGTAATAGTCGCTGATTTGGACTATTAAGAAGTTCTATATTCACTTAGTACCTTGTCCATTTGTCGTCATTATATACAACAAAACAATACTGAATAAAATCTAAAAATCACATATAGACATTTGGTTTGTGTTTTTTTTTTGTCATCGCATTGTTGTATAAATTCTATTATTTATTGTTCATATCACACACATAAAAAAAACGAGAAAGAAGAAAAAAAGAAAACTTGGCTTTGTTTTTTTCCTTATTTTGAAACAGAATAAGAAGGCAACAGACGGTGGTTTTTCTCTCTTTTCATGATTGATAGCACACATATATGACAAGTAAGAGCAAGATATCGTGTGCATGTGTATGTTTGTGTGTGAATGTAATGTACGAGCAAAAAAAATAGAGAACAACATCAATAATAACAACAGAAAAAAAAAAGAAAGAAAGAAAAAATACAATTAGTCGAATCCGAAGAGAAAAAAAAAGAGAGATTCCTTTGTTTGTACACGCTGAAATTAGAAAATACGAGATAAATAATAAAGACGAGGAAAATGTGCTCACAAACAACGTGAGATACATTATTTTGAAGTTGTTTGATTTTCATTTTTTTTGTTGAATTTGTTGAAAAGATCACCAATAAGGCGGTGGTTGTACACCGTCAGAACTAAGATTTGATGACGGTGCTTGTAAATCATTAAATTGTGAGGAAAATTGTGAATCATTTTGTGAAAATTGTTGTTGTTGAGAATCTGATGATGCATGATAATGTATTGTGCCTGCTTGTAATTCACCTGGTGGTCCACCGGGACCTAAATTTTGAATATTTAATTGTTGAATAGACATTGTTGCTGATACATATGTATTATTAATTGATTGTGGCGGTGGTCGACCATCATTTAAATGCATTGGATGATGAGGATGCATATGTGGATGCATTTGAGGATGATGATGTGGTGGTCCCATACCAAAATTATCATCCATCATAGGTGAAAAACGCATATGTTGTTGTTGATGTCCAGGTGGTGGACCAAGTAATGGATCCATATGATGCATTTTAACATAATGTGGTGGAGGTAAATGATGAAGATGTTGTTGCATTGGATCAGATACAGATGGTGGTGGTAAACCTTTTGATGAGCGTGAGGGACCACCGGGATGTGGAATCATCATTCCATTTGGATCAATTGTATGATGTGGAGGCATCATTTTATACAAATGTGGATGTGGTGGTGGCAAATTACCAGGATGATGTGGATTAAATTGTGAAGGCATTGAATCTGGAGGACCAAACATACGATGATGAGGGTTCATATTCTAAAGGAAAAAATAATAAGAAATCGGAAATTTTTTGAAGATAAAAACTTACTTGAAACTGCATATGTTGTGGTGGTAAATTCATATGATCAATTGATTTTGATATATGTCCTAAATTAGGACTATTTAATGATTGTTTCGATACTTGATTATTTGCTGAATTATATGGAGAATTCGAGGATTGTAAACTATTTGTCATTTGTAGCATACTACTTAATGGTGGTGCCATATTTGATGTTGGAGTTTTAGGATCACTATTCATATCTAATGGTTCATCTTTAGTTGAATTTGTATTTGAATTCATTAATGGTGATGATAAATTATTATTTGTTGTTAATTTTGATGAACGTGGTGATGCAGCTGGAACACTTTGTGGTGTTATACCTTGAGAATGATGCGTAGGCGTTGTTGAACCGGATGATTGTTGTTGTTGTTGTCCAAATGATAATGTATTTGAATTATTATTCGGTGTTGAAGTTGAACGTGTTAATGGTGTCATTGGTTCATCTTTACATGATGAAGATGATGATGGACCACCATTTGTTCCATTACCAGGTCGATAAGCTCGATTTAAATGTCTTGTTATTATTAATTCTTCACCTTCCATACCTAAAGAAAAAAAAATAAGAACAAAGTGATGATTTCATTATAAAATTAAGAAAAGAAAGAATCATACCAAATTCATTATAATCCATTTGTGTTGGTGATGCTGTTAATTGTACTTCACCAACACTACCAGATAATTTTTTATTAGCTGATGATGGCAATGAATCTGGAATGAATTTTTCTGGTTGACCAACTTTATATAAACGTGGTACTGTGGACGGTTCCATTCTAGGTGAAAGCAATTTACCATTAGGTCCTAAATTACCTCCTGTTGATGTTGTTGCTATAGGAGGTGTTAATGATGACGGTGATGCTGATGAATATGGTGGTGGTTGTCCACGCATTTGCTGAGCTTTGCCTTCAAGATGTTCCATTTGCATTTTATTCCAATCTCTTATAGCTTGTGGTTGTGGATGATGTGAAGGTATTGGCCCATATGGATCACCTGGACCTGGTCCAAATTGTCCATGAAAACCTGGTGGCATTGGTCCATTCATATATGCATGTGGTGGTGGTGGACCATTCATATCAATCATCATTCCATCAGGTGGTCCTCGCATACCTGGTGGTAACATATGTGGTGGTGGCGGTCCAATACCCATCATATGGTGTGGTGGACCAACGCCGTGTGGACTGTTCATCATCATCATTTGTTGTTGATGAGGATCAAGTGGACCACCATTCATTGATGGTGGCATATTAACATTTGCCGCTGCAGCTGCAGCTGCTGCTGCTGCATTTGCTTTAGCTCTTCCACCACGGCCACGTCCACCTGTAATTTTTGTTTTTATTTCTTGTATTTTATCTAATTGATTTTTTCGATGTATTGCTCGTTCAGGTGTTAAATTTTCAATACCATCTGATGGTGGTTGAATCATACCAGGCATGGGTGGCATACCACCCATACGCATACCAGGTGGTGGTGAACCATTCATCATCATTGCACCTGGTGGTAAAAGATGATTTGGTGGAGGTAAACCACCAGGTCCCGGCGTTAAACGACCGAAAGGTGGTTGTTGTTGATGAAAATGTGGATGTGGCCAATTTGGTGGTGGACCACCACCACCATTATGAAGTGACATATGAGGATTATGATGTGGTGGACCAGGCATCATCATTTGCATAGTACGAGGCGAATGACATCCGGGCGGTAAATTCATATGCATTGGACCACCGAGTGATGAATTATGATTGTTATTTGAGAGAGACTATACAGAAACAAAAATAATAATAACATCTATTGACTCTATATACATATATATGAGATTCCAATGGGATTTCTAATAGTTCTCGTATCCTTTTTCTTCTTTCGTCTACTCAATTACAAACATTTCCCTTGAGTTTTTGCTTCTTTTTTTTTGTGTTTCAAGTATATGCAATGACAATGTTTTTTTTGTTTATTCTATTGTTAATGTTTATTAAAATTTAAACTTACTGACATATATTGAGCTGTACTTTGTAATGATTTATGATATTCAATTATATTAGGATGTTCATTTTTTAATACAGATTCAGCGGCTTCGTTAGCTAATTGTGTTGTAAATACAAACACTTGATTATTCGTCTGTAAATATGGACTATCACTGGTTATTGTATATTGACTACGTGGTGACATAGACATATATGATGATGATGGTAGTGGTGGAAGCAATGATTGGTGTTGTAAAGATGGTGGTGGTGGAGTTTGTCGTGTGAGTAATGATGAATTAGGTGTTGTATTACAAGTATTATGATTTGGTGGAGCAAATTCATATGATATTTGACCAATATCATTACCATTACGTGACGGTGTTAAAGAAGGTGGTGGACCATTTGATAAAGCTGAATAAAAACATAAAGGCAAGATTATTAATTGAAATTTTTCTTCTTGAATTTTACTAACGTGTTCCTGTTCTACTAATTGAACGTTCCGAATCGATTTGTTCAGTTTTTTGTGGTTTTAAAGATGATAATGAATCAAAATCTGTTGATGATGGATCAATAAGTTCATCTAATTTTCTTTTATTTGTTTTATTATTTGTTTGAATTGATTGTCGTGTTAAATATATATCAGAAAACTGATTCATTGGAGAATTCGATGAAGATATTTGTTGATGAGAATCGTTTGTATGTAATAACATTGTTGCTGGCGGTAATGTTCCACTTTCCATCCCATTATTAACTAAAAACTAATTAATATACATCATGATGAATAAGAAATTTTTTTGATATAGATAAATTTAAGAAAACAATAATACATACAACTATTGTCAACAGAAGATTGTTGTTGAACAGCAGCTATTGGAATAGATGCAGCCGATTTGGCTTTTTTTATGTTGTTTTTCATTCGTATTGATCATCTACATTTATTAAATATTCTATCTGAAATTAAGTTTTCTTTATTTTATTTTTTTTTATTTTATTAAAAAAAGATAACATATTGTCGGATTTCTCTTTTTTCTTTATTCGTTTTTGACGTCAAACAAGCCAAAGTGCGCACACTCGCGACACGTTCACGTACATACACATCATGGGAGGAGGAGGAGGAGAAAAATGTCAAAAAAGAACAAATAACGGCTTGGTTCTTTCTCCCTCTCTCTCTCTCTCCCTCTTACGTTCAGCCCGCCGTCCGATAATACATTCCCTCTCTCTTTCTGTTTTCTTCCATTTATCGTGCTCGATTGGCAACTACATCCAACAAACTGTTCAAACTGAAAAGAAAAAGAGAAGAGAAGACAAACGAGCGCGTGTGTGCACGAGTGCGTTGAACATCATTCTTGCTCCGAGCATATTATACGAATAGTAAAGAAGAAGAAATAGCATCGACGTTCTACATCATGTGAAAGACGAACAAGAATAACAACAACAATAACAGATGCGTAAAAAACAACATCTCTACTGTGGCCTACTATGCTCGTTCCCACTCGCGCGCGCTAAGATGTCTCTATTTTCCTTCAGTTTTTTTCTTTTATCGTTCTTGTTGCTTCTTTTTTCTGCTCAGACAAAGAACCGATAGTGCAGTACCGAACGCGAAAGAGCAAAAGATGGAAAACATTCTTCTTCTTTTTCTTCTTCTTCTTCGTCTTCTCTCTTCTCATCATGAAGCTTTTTTTTCTAGAGTAGTAGAAGCAGTACTACTGACAGTACTGTAGAATAATCAAATGAAACAAAGAGAGAAAAGAAAAAAAAACGAAAGACAGAAAGAAAGAAAGAAAAAATGCATACTACTGCATCACAGTAAAACAGTCGTCATCATAGTCGTCATTGTATATAGTTTATTTTTTTTTTTGGAAATGAATGGATGTATTAAGGTGTAAAAAGTCTAGTGTTGAATGACTGACTAGCTGTTCAACAGTCAAAAAAAAAAGAAAAAAAATTTCTTTTCTTTAATAACATGTTCATTTCCGAACGTGCATCTTACGCTTGCGTTCTCAATGCATGCAAGCATGAAATGACAATGAGATATCGACATACTCCCTAAGGTGTGTAGCGCAAGAGAGAGAGAGAGAGAGAGACATAGCGAGCATAGTTGACCAAGCAAGAGCACTTTGTCGATATATATGATGGTTCAAACAGAAAAAAAGTGGAGAAAAAAAAATGTTCGCCTCTAGTGACAATACAAGAACGACAATACTTGTTACTCTAAACTGTAACGACAATAATATGCTTGTTCGAGTGTTAGAAATAGTGGACACGAAAAGTAGATCAAGTAGGCATCATCAAACAATATTATCGATCATGAATTAGAATTAGTATAAACATTATTTGATACATACTGTATATAGAAACAAGACGATGAACATTGTATTGTAAAAGATCTATCTATGCTGAGACAGAAAAGAAGAAATTTAACACCAACACTCATATGTAAACAAAGTGATACATAATATTTCAGTACCAATCTGACCTGTTATGTCAAGAATAAAACCTTTTTTTTCTCCTTTTTTTCTATGAATAAATGTTTAAAAAAAAAACTTATGTGCATACATACATACATTTATTTGTCCTCGTTTGGACTTTTTTCTTCCCTGTCTATTCATTCATTCATTCATAAACAAGAAAGAAATTGTCTCTTAACATCGAATAAGCAGCAACGTAGTTCAAACAATGTTGATGACAGAAGAAAAAAAACCGCCTTACACACATACAGGCACGGACAGGAAAAAAAAGAAGAAGAAAGAGTGATGTGTTAATAATACGTAGAACTTTTTGCTGCCACGGTGTGTTCGATGCAACAAAAGAATGAAGAGAGAAAGAGAGATCGAGAATGAGTATAGAGCGTATGAGAAAAGAAAAAGAAAGCAAGAAAGAGACGCATTACAGGGAGAAGAAAACAAACAGGCAGCATGCCACTATTTGTCAAAGCACACGTAATAAAAGCGACATACTTGAATATAAAGCAAAAAAACCCTTAAGAAACTAACTACCCTATTTTTATATTATAATTTGTCAATAAAATATATTTTAGTTCAAATAAATTTTTTTTTTAACTATTACAAAACAATGATCTTTGTTTTTCTTTCTTTTAAAACGCTCGTATCAATACTTACTATGCATAGTCATTATTATCATCGTCGTGTAATGTTTTTTCTTCGAGAAAACGATGAAGAGGAAAAGGCGGTAAAGACTAGGACGACGAAGACAGAAGAGAAAAGAGACACCTTCTCCGTATGTATTATGCTTCACTGGTTTCGAACAAATGACGTAGGCAGGTAGGTATGTAGAAACGCATACTCTATTGATGATGGCAAAAAGCTACTGTCATTATCATTAATATCATTCTACTTCGTGATAAATACATCCATTGTCAAACAAATTCACATCTAATTGAAAAGATACCGATTTTTTTTATTTATGAAGAGAATTCTTGTGTATTTATTGCGAATAGAATGAGAAAAGAAGAAACTGCAAGACAAATATATTGACTTTCTTTTTAATAGGACCAATGATGACGACAGCAACCTTGAGGGATAGAGAGTGAGACCATGCATTTCCACTCTACACACTTGACTCTTCGTTTTTTTCTCGTGAGAATAGATCGATGCGAACGATAGGTCCTGAACTTATCATCTCTCCTCTCTTTCCTTTTTCTTATCTTTTTTTTTTACTTGTATGATTTTTCTGTGACGACAGACAGTTTTCTTTTTTTTTCTTCTTCTTTTTCTTCTAAACACCCACTTGCTCTCTTCCGCCATTATTCTTTCCTTTTTTTATTTCTCGCTCATTTTTGTTATTACAGGTTGTGCTTGAGCTACTGTTTGACAGTATATGAATAGCACATGGACAATAACTTAAACTAATGTATAATCTACTTCTATTGATTTCTCATGTGAAATGTATCGAGTAAAACTTGCAATGTACAATTGATTATCAATAATTAGAATCACTCAAATCAAATAGAACAATACATTTGACAATGAAAAATGACATAAGTATGTCAAATAATCAGTATTGAGATACTCAATATACAACCTATTCATTTATTAATCAACCGACCATGACACTCCTTTTATTAGGAAGTCTATTATATAACAATAAACGAAAGAAAAAAAAAACGAACTACATATATATTCAAATGCTATAAAAAGAAAAAACGTAACTAAAGAAATTCTTTACTACAATCGATTGTTAATAAACATGATGTTATGTCTAAAACAAATATGTATGTGACATTTTCACTAGAGACAATAAATAGTCTTTTAAAGTCAATAAATTGAATAATAAGAAATAATAGCTAGTTGAAATCAGATAATGATATTCTAAGATTAGTAAATATATGCATATATTAGATACATAATCTTTTTAATTGCATATTATCCATGAGGTTTGCATAGGTGTTATTATTAAGAGTGCATCTTGATTAATATCATCAGTAGATACTACTTCAGTCTTTGCGCTTTAATGGAAAATTTTTAATTTTTAAAATTTTCTTCAATGTAAAAATAGAAAATTCACATGCAGAACGAATGACGTAAAAGAAAAAGTTTTGTGTTAATTTTTTTTTTAATATGGTAATGTAGGGACATTGTAGAGAACTGGTTAATAAATTTTTCCTAGTTTTATTTACAATCTATTTTTCTAAGAAAAGAGACTTTGAAATCTAAATATATGAGCAGATAGCTCATTCAAAACTCTGTGAATTATAATTTTGATAAAAAAAAAATTTATTTATTTAATATTGATAAAATATTTTCATTCGTTAAAGTAAAAAATGCTAATTTCAAGTTGACATAAATTCTATAATTTTTATATTTTTAGATCGTATAAAAAAAAAGGATGTTTATATTCTATTTGATAAAGAGTTATTAATTGATACAACAAGCGAATTTTCAAATCTCGTGGGATCAATCGAAGCTTCATATTGATTTTGATGACATGAACAAGTTTTCTTTAAGACAATCAATGTAAACGAGATATATGTAATTAAAATATTTTCTAAACAGGTCACAACAGGTCTTGAACTATGTTTTAAAAAAAAAGCTTTTTATTTATTATGCTTCTATATTGTGATGCTTAAGAAACAAAATTCATAGAAAACTTTTGCTTCCATCAGTTAATTAATATGGACACGCTTTAAAACAGCAGAAATGCTTCTGATAATGATGTCCTTTAAATCGCATATGCCTCTCAGAGACTCAAGGGGGTGTACGTGACTTTAGTGAGGTTATCCGTTTTCTTTGAATAAAGAGATTCATCAGACAGGAAGTAAAGAATCTCACAGAAAAAATAACAGTTCTTGAATCAACAAAAAACTGCAGCCCTCGAGGCTTAGGAAACCAGCTGTGTCATATTTGCTTTTGTACATCTGATAGAAACATTCTTAATTGTAATTAAGTCTGTTTTGTTTTTACATACATGAATTCAAGTCAACTTTAAACATCAAATACAAGAGACTCAAATGAATGATTCTTTCAGGTAAAATGATCTAATATGTATTCATTTGATTCCATGATATGGTTTCATTCAAGATCTCAGTGGAGAAAAATTCAACTTGATATATTGTGTTCCTTTCGATGGATTCGTCGTTACATACAACTTAGATTTCAGATGGTCACCTTGTGAACTTCATTGATGCACCTTTAAAAAGTAACTATTTTCTGATGAAAGAGAAGCCTTAATGATGAATATTGCATAACTGCGAGCGTCAAGTCATGCACTTGTATTTTGATTT